ACATAGACTCTAAAAGCCAAAAGGTCCGGGAAGATGTCTTGCAGACCCTAAGAGACCACAGATGCCAATCAAGACTACTATACTCGGGGCTGGTGAGATGGCTCAGTGGTTAAGAGCACTGACTGCTCTTCCAGAGGTCATGAGTTCAAATCCCAGCAACCACATGGTGGCTCACAACCATCTGCAATGATATCTGATGCCCTCTTGTGGGGTGTCTGAAGACAGCTACAGTGTACTTACATAAATAAATAAATAGTTTAAAAAGAAAAAAAAAAGAAAAACATTAAAAAAAAAAAGACTACTATACTCAGCAAAACTTTTAATCACCATAGATGGATCTATTAAGACTAAACAATTACACAGGCATATTAAATCTGGGAGCTAAGTTTATATAGAGTTCATATAGATTCTTCTTAAGAGCTTTACAAATATGAAAAGGTTAGGCCATGCTCTAAGAGTGTCAACAATATAGACAATGTAGAAGAACCACTGAGTATCCCTTGATCCAATAAATTAGGCATTATCCCCTTGCTTCAGAACAATTAGTACTCTCAAAAATAAATCGAAGTACACATTCTGAACAATCTTGTCTGAACTACTCCCAGCCTTGAGGATTGGCTCCATCACACATCCTGTGTGCTGGTGGAGTGTAATTAGAATGCCTGGACCTAGCCTACTGCAGCACATCCGATTTTTAGGTCTATTTTGCGTATCAGAGCCACGTTCAGGTCTAGTCTGGTAAACTCCCTAAACCTCCCTGCTTGCATCCTCCCAAACCCTACTCACAAATCCTATGAGCTGGCCCAGTCTGAAAAGAGAATACTTTAAAATCCATTAAGTTACAAAATCTAAAACAGTCAGGAATATTAGTGTTTACCTTTGGCCCTAGCACTCAAGTGGTAAAGGTAAGCAGATCTCTGCAAGTTTGAGGGAATCCTGGTCTATATAATTGTAGGTCATCCAGGGATACATAGTGAGACCTTTTCTCAAACAAAACAAAAACTCCCAAAACCAAAACAAGAATATATAAAAGACATGGGTGGATTTCTCAATTCAACCAAACTATCAAGTTAAACTATGAAGAGATCAACAAACCAAACACTAAAAACAAAGAAATCATAATAATATAAAAAGACTTCTGACCCCCCCCCCTGCAGTGTAAACCCAGGTTCCAGATGCACTTACAGCAGAATTCAACCAAAATTTCCAAAGATTTACAGCTAACACTTTCTAATTATTCAAAAGAAAGAAAGAAAAAAAGAAAGAGGAAGGAAAGAGGAAGAGAGTGAGTGAGTGAGTTAGGGAGGGAGGGATGGAGGGAGGGAGAGAGGGAGCACTTCTAAACTCATTCTATAAAGACAGTGTTACCTTAATACCAAGACTAGGTAAAGACTCATGGAAAGAAAACTATGGGCCAATGTCCCTGACAGGAAAGCATCTTTTAATTCCAGCAGGTATTCCTTAAAACTCAGCATCAAAGTGAACCAGTGTGACACCCTGACAGCACTCGGATACTGACACTACGGTCAGACACATAGGGCCCACATTTCTGCCGAACAGCCACTCTAATTACTCCAATTAATTGTAGAAGAATCCTCTAATAATGGCCAAAATGAGAGTAGGCTAACACCTCCCAAATGTATCTAGGTGCTGAAGTTCAAGGTGTCGTGTTTTTAAAGACAAGGCTCGATCAGTGTTGAGGTGGGTTGAAAATAGTCTTATAAAATTTGTCTGTTTTGCAGAGCTTAGCAGTATATTCCATATATCACAAGACATTTATTTTTGATTTATACTACTTCTAATTATTTTAGTTTTAACTTGCAGAAACATTAATTATTATGGTTGATAGATCTGGACCATGGTCAGAGTCACAAAGGCTCCCAAAAGTATTACCAAGGCAGATGTTGATTGCTATTGGGGGTGGGATGGGGTAGAAGTCTGAGGAGTCTCTAGGCAGCCATGAAATAGAGTCATGGCTCCACCCTAGTCACTTCACTGTGCTACAAGGGACATTCTAAACACTTAAGTACTGTAGAGACACTTACGCAAATCAGCACATGAAACTGGGTCTTCTAGAAAAAGCCCTTATACAAAGATACTATACACACACACACACACACACACACACACACACTCATATACATACAAACAAATAGCAAATTCATGGAAAAGTTCAAGAAGTTTGTTTTAAATTCATCAAACATTTTCATCAAATTCAAGAAATTCCAGGAAGATAGTGAGGAGAAGATCTATTAAAACTACACTCAGTAGCAATAGCTAAAACAGCAAACCTACTTCTAAAACCCTCTATAAAATAATCTAATAGTGTAGGGGAAATGTGGCACATAAGAAAAATACTGAGAACAGCAGAGAGGTGGCTTGTATGTAACATACCCTGGAAAAACTGTAAAGTATGAATTAGAAGTACATTTAAGACACTGAGAATGTCATTCTAAAATGCTATATATTAATAATAGGATTGTTTTTCTGCATGGATGGAGCCTTCTGTAGAAGCCATACACTTAAAAATGGCTACAAAAGTATTAGCTTTTGTTTTTACTACAAAGACATTTCATCTGACAAGCAAGGACACACGAAGGTAGCAGCATTACTCATAATTTGAATCTGCAAATAAACTGTCTTGTACTGTAATTGCTCAGATAATTTTTGAGTTTCTAGAAAACCAGAAAGGCCTTACAGAATTGGGTTATAACTACTAGAGGCCAAACTCCCTCAGAAAGCTTCCCAGCACAAAGTCTAAAAGAGCTTCGGCACAAGCAGGTGCCTAAGATCATCAGAACAAGATTTTTCTGCACTACTGATTTGCATATTTTTGTCTCATGCCATGCATTTCTTGGATCATATTCTTTTATCATATTCTTTGGTAGTTTAGGCTTATGTAATTTTGATTTAGTTGCATATCTCCCTTACTAATAACTACACTCTTACTAGAAATGGTCAACAATCTAACTATAATTCCCTTTACAAAACTCAAATAGGTAATCTAAATGAATATGTCAATAACAATACCTTTGGATGGTGATACCTAAGTAGAGAAAAGTGTTCTTGTTCTAGATCAGGAGGATATGAATATTTTGGCATGTAATTGTGACTGTCATAAATAATTACGACAGCATCATATGTCTATCCACCAAAGTTGATCATATCCCATGTGTAGTAATTGTTAACTTCTTATATGAATTCAGGTTTTCAGTGTTCACCCAGGATCAAGGTTAGTTATCTATAGGACTTCTGGCTGATTCAAGACTATGGAGCCCTAATACTTTCATATGTATATATGAAAGTATATATAATTCATATCATATATATATATATATATGTATACATTTATCAAATATATACCACAGATATATTTGTCAAATACATACACACAGACACACACACTCCTAAGGCACAGATATCTTTCTGAGGAAAGACTTCTATGGATAATAATAGCATCCAATAGCAATAGTGTCCAAGACTCAAAGACACCACAAATGAGTTTAAATTCCTTAACCAAATGTCTCAGTTTGTGTTTGCTTCACACAAACTGATACAAAATAACTATGGGTAGGAAGTATATAAAGAACAGAAATGATTTCTCACAGTTTCTGAAGCCAGGAAGTCCAAGATGGAGTTGCTGACAGGTTGGTGTGTGATGAAACTCTGCTCTCCACTTCCAGGTAGCATCTTATTGCTGGTATCTTCTAGGGGTGCTAGGTGCTTTGTCATCACATAGTAACAGGTGAAGGGTCAGAAGAGCTGAAAGCCAGATGCTGACAGCCCCTTTTAAGGGCATGAATCCATTCCTAAAGGCTCTCATGGTATAATCT